TCCCTTCATTGTAACTTCCTTGAAATTGGCTACATCCATTTCTCATAATGGGTCACTTATTTTTGGAGTCATCTTTTCCAAACAATTATAACTATCATTTAGCCACCAACCAGGCGAAAGGTTCGAACAAGGTTTAAGGAGCGGGAGGATAGGGAAGGCCCCGATGAGTTATGGCTCCAAGAAGTCCTACGGGAAGAAAAAGGAGGAGGGGGTCAATGCTGTCACTATTGCGGTTGGCCCCCCAAGGAATCGAGCTGCACCACAAATCGAGCCAAGGAAGGAGAGGGTGTGGTAGACAAAATTCCTACTACTTATGCAAAATTGCTCCCTTAGCTTCTAGAAGCTTCAATGCTGGTGCGACTTCCACTATTGAAGAAGTTCAACCCTCCTTACCCTACATGGTACAGGCTAGAGGAACGATGTGACTACCATTCTGGTTACCCCGAACATTCAGTGGAACATTGCAAGGCCTTATAGCTCTGCATGCAAGGGCTTACAGATGCTGGGTGGTTAAATTTTGACACTAACACGCCTAGTATCGATAATCAACCGCTTCCCAAGTATGAGGAGTTATGACCTTGGAGTGGTGTTGTTGAAAGGCTACTAGAGAAGGGGCTCTACTAGAAGGCTGTTTTCATTTGTTGTCTTTTCTACCCACGATCCCTGCTTGAAATCATGGGTCCCCACAATAAAAGGGCATGTAATAAATTATATATATATATATATATATATATATATATGTCATTTCTACGAATCTTGTCTATTTTTCATTTCTTTTCTTCCTCTTCTTTTCTCTCATACATTAAAACTCTAAAATCCAAATACAGAACCTAAAGAAAGCAAACATGATTGAGGAAAACAAAATTGAACAAAATTCAAATGTTTGTAGTGCATCGCTTGAACCTCAAGAAGATCTCTCCTCCGAAATACAAAGACTAGTGGATCAAGAAGCTCGGATAATCCAACCTCATCAAGAGGAAATTGAGAAAGTCAATTTAGGACAAGGAGAATATAAAAAGGAAGTATTGATCGGCACAAGAATCAAAGATGAAGACAAGGACTAAATGATTAGCATGCTAAAAGAATATGTTGACATTTTCTCTTGGGCTTATCATGACATGCCAGGATTAGAACCTAAAATTGTCGAACATAAACTATCCATAAAAAGTGGAGTTCGTCCTGTAAAGCAAAATCTTTGAAGAGTCAAGCCCGAATGGTCCCTTAAAATAAAGGAAGAAATTCAAAAGCAATTAGACGTGGGATTCTTGGTTGTGTCGTATTATCCTGAGTGGCTCTCAAATATACTGTCTGTGTTGAAGAAAAATGGGAAGGTACAAGTCTATGTGGACTATCGAGACTTAAATCGAGCTAGTCCTAAAGATGACTTCTCATTACCGCACATCGATGTGTTGGTAAATAATACCTCCACAAACACTATCTTTTCATTTATGGATGGGTATTCGGGATACAGCCAGATCAGAATGGTTGTCAAGCATTGCAAAAAAACTTCCTTTATCACACCTTGTGGTATGTTCTGCTACAAAGTGATGTAGTTTGGATTAAAAAATGCTTGGAGCAACTTACCAAAGGACCATGGTAACTTTGTTTCATGACATGATCCATAAAGAAATCGAGGTGTACATGGATGACATTATCTCTAAGTTAAAAAGAAAAAGTGATCACCTTATTCATCTAAGAAAATTATCTAATCGGCTTTGTAAGTACCAACTAAAGCTAAACCCGGCCAGATGTACTTTCAGAATCTGATCTAGAAAACTCCTTAGATTTATTGTTAGTGAAAAAGGGATAGAAGTAGATCCGGATAAGGCCAAGTCCATCATAGAGATGCCACCCCCAAAGATGGAAAAGGAGGTCAGAGGATTTCTTGGAAGAGTGAATTACGTAGCTTGTTTCATATCTCAATTGACCAATACATGCACTCTCATTTTCAAACTACTTTGAAAGAATCAACCAATGGAGTGGAATGAGGGATGTCAGCTCGCCTTTGATGAGCATAATCGAAGATAGATGGTATAAATAATAATATTTTTTACTTTTTTAGCGACCGATTTTAATTTGGTCGCTAAAATTATTATAAATAATAATACTTTTATTTTTTTAGCGATCGATTTTAATTTAGTCGCT